AAAACATATTTCAGTAAACTTTTTCAGGGTCTGACACTGGAGCAAGGATCTGCCAAAGAATTTTTCTTTTTCCTTGGTTAAGGGTTCAGACGGACAGCCTCTGGATTGCTAGAAAAGGACTTCTAAGAGATGAATCTGGATAGAATTAAAATGCTCAAGTTTTTTTTTTCCCCACCAACACTCATTTCTGCATCTGGACTTAAGGCCTCTCTTTATTGGAGTATTATGAGGTATACAGTTTTCTCCTAATTTCTCCTAATAATTACAAGCATTGCATCTAACTCCTCCCAAAGGTTTTAAATTGTGCACCACGTCAGTCTTTCCTGTTGATTCAACTATATTCCAATATTTAATAAATACTGAAGATTTTGCATCTTCAGAGATGCAAGAGAACTTTTCTATTTACCTTTCTTAGGAAATACGTGAAATGGAAGGTTCATGGCAATACTGTGCAATAGTTGTTCCAATTACAGAAAATATATTTGTAGGTTTTAGACACATTTCAAATACATAGCTTAACTTGGTACCTACTAAATAGTTTTATTCCAAAGATTTTTTCTCAAATGATTCAATCATTATTTTACTTATTTTTATGCAAGCATTCTTCAAACTTTTGCACCAACAGTCAGTCTGTCATATGTTCAGAGTATAGAGGAACGCACAAATTATTTTTCTTACACTTATAAAACTGTATTGAGATTGTGCTTCTGAGGATATTGCTGTACACAAAGTGATGACACATTGCTTTTGAGTATCTTCCTAACATGACAGGGAAGCATTATTACTTCTGCGGGGAGTAACGAATCAATCTGCCATGAAGTAGTCAGAACTACTTAGGTTTCGCGGTTGTGACTGTGGGTTTCTTTGTTTAAAAAAAAAAAAAATACAACAAAATAAAATAAAGACTTCTGGATATCTAATAGCATCCTCTTGCAAATGCCTTCCCAATATAAGCAAAAAACTCCCAATAATTTTCAGGTAACAGCCTCTAATAAAGTTTATAGTTTAAAATTTACAGTACCCCAATATACAGACAGTGAAGTATGTGAAACCTAACACTGTTCATGCTCAAGTACTGCATTATTTGGAAGCTTTTTCATGTTATAGCAAAAGTTTTTGGCAGACAAATGCTTAATCACCCTAGAGATCCACAAGGTATCTTTAAAAATCTGTGGTCAGAATGTCTACATATGCATAGGATTTTTCTACATGCTTACGAAGAATATTTTATAGAAGAAAAATCCATATTTGATAGGTTTTTAATTTCTACCTTCCCACATTTTAAGAAATTTTAGTCAGAGGTACTATCACTGATATCTAGTGAAGTACACTCTCAAGGTACATGAAAGCAAAACCAATCTAATAGACAGTCCTTAGTATAGCTATGTTCTCATTTTTTTTATTTTTGACTATGTAAAGATATCCTACAAAAATAACAGCAGTAAGATAAAAATAAGGAATATTATTTTACCTCCTGAAACAGTTCTTGAGGTAAGCAGGTATAACACGCAAAAGCTCAGTCTTTGGCAAAGCTAGAGAAAAGCTAGAGATTGAGTTTGCATTTGCCCATGCTGTTATTTGTATTACCATAATGCTACAGCCAAAATTGCACTGGAATGCAAAAAAAAAGTAAACCTTGACACAAGCAATTTGTCACTTAAGTTTATAGAAGATCATAAGACCCAAGGAGGGAGAAAAAGGGGAAGAAATAAAGTGAAATGGTAAGACTGAACTGTCCAGCAGGATAATTATTTCTCTAAGTTGATTTTTAAAAAAATATCGGGAGGCTTTCTATGAAAAACTTGACAAGGAGACTTACAGTAAGGGTGTGGCTAAAAATCACTCTCTGGTATTACTCAACTAAGGAAAAAAGCAAGAATTGGTTGGAAAGTTTTAAAGAGCACACAAGTACGGTGAAACAGGCTACCTAGAGCCTTATATCTGAAATATAAGTTGTTTTTGTTCTAAAAAGGAGGGGAAATAAAAGAGAAAGGAAAAGGATGAGTGATATGGTCAAAGTATCAGCATACGGAAAAGAGCTGAAAACAAACAGCACCAACATTTGTCAAGACAACAGACAAGGCTGTTTCAACAGAAATACAGACCTCAGCAGTTAAGCATGAACTGTTAAGGAGAGGCTGCATTTTACACTGTAGACCTCAGATTTAGCAACAGACTAGGCGTGAGAATAATTTTAAATTGCAAACCAAACTATGGGTATACAGAATGGGTACACAGAAGTTCAAATGAAAAATCTGTAGAGAGGAAAAGAGCACACGTGTACATCTTGCAAAGGAAGACAAATAATCAAAATGCCTATGAAAACTATAATTTAGAGGCAAGCTATAAACACAGAAATGAGATCACACAAAGTATTCTTTCAACAATAAGACCAAAAATGTATTCTTTGCAGTTTCTGAAGTTTTAGATTTATATTGCTTAGAAACAAGTTTTAATACTTAGCTATGAATGCCAAAAATAAGATCCACCAGTTCCTCTCATTTTCAAAAAAATACATACTAAACTTACCATGCTGCTTAGATTTCTTCTTTTTCTTCTTCTTCTTTTTCTGTTTTGATTTATGATCTTTCTCCTTTTTATCTTTTTTCTCCTTTTCCTTTTCTTTCTTTTTACCTGAAATAACAAAAATAAATATTTTTACCAGCAGTGACAAGGAAATGCACGCTATTCTGGTGACCTACTCAGATCAAGAGGCTTCAATTTGCTCGATATTTTAGGTGTTAGTCTCTTATTAATTGATGGTAGAACGGTACAGAGGAAACGCTCTCAATAACATTTTACAATGTTAAGTATTGCCAAATCAGATACCATAGGAGGGGAAAAAAAAAATACAACAAAGCACACAAAGTGATAGATTTAAATAGCTTATAAACACATAACAAATGCTTGGGCAGGAGAAAAATCAAAGTTTTTAAAAAGGGCAAATTCCAAACCAGAAAGATAATGTCATCTGAAAAACACGCATTACACCTACAGAATGTGATTCAAAGGTGATTTCAGCAACAGACTCACAATACTGCTGATGCTGTCAGTTTTCTACTAAACAGCAACATCCTCACATAAAACTGATTCTGAACAAAATTTATTACATTTTTTGCACTGCTGGTCACCTATAAGCACTGCTGACATTCTCATGAGGATAGAATTATTTCAAGACAAAGTACCTAGCTACCCTGTTAATTCTTCCCAGATGAAATGTATCCCACAACATATCATTCTATAATCATTTTCTAAGCAATGAGCTGTGAGCTAAATAAAGATAAAATTGACTTGTGGTGTAAAATAATCCCTAAGTACTGACTTCAAGGAGATATTTCCTGCACAGAAATTAAGTCTTATTATCTACTTGGTAGGTATAGGAACAGAACTTTTCCCTCTTGGCAAAAAAAAAAAAAAAAAACAAAAAAATCATCTATAACCAGAATTTTTACACAGGGAAGAACTAAACCCTTTTGAATTTAGATTTTTGTTCAAGAATTGCCAAAGGTTTTGTCAGTTACACTTGGTTATTTTTTTTTATTTTACCTGTCAGTACACAGAAATAAATACAATATCACTAATTCAACTAAAATCAGCTTTGGTTTGGGCTTCTTACCTAGAACAGATACTGCTATCTGCTCCTGTCACAGATACTACTTGGATTGTTCCAAATCCTTGTTATTTGCGTTTGCATTTTTTCTTATAAAATTTTTCTTTCACTACAAGCTTTTTGCACATATAAAATGTAAGAGCTAAAAAAAAAATTGCACCTGGGCCCTGGAAATATTTGTATACTTTTATATTAACACTTCAGGGACAGAAAGTAAAGCGTTAGATCTGTATACGCTACTACATTTCCAAACCTTTGTCTTTCCCCCTTCCCCCAAAGTGTTCTTGCTCTGTACATACCATATGCTGAGGAGCTTTTCTCTTCCAGTTTTCCTTTCCTTTCCAGTCTCACTGCACCTACAAATTGAAGAAGAACATATGACATTAGTGTAATGTCGGGCTGATGACCTGTTTTCTTGTAAATATCATTAGACTGCAAAAAGACCTATTGGTACATAACATTAAGAAATACACAAGCAGCACATTGATTTTTAATGTCACTGTACAGTTATTTTTATTTTCTAAAGCACTGGAAACAAAAAGCATTGTAGTTTACCAACTTCTGAATGCTTGTCCTTCTCAATCACGTTCTTTAATATTTTCTCCTTCAGACTTTCAAAACATTTCTCCTTTATGGGCACAGAGTACTGTATCTCTGTCCCTTCAGAGCTCACTGATGTGGAAGACCTCTTTTTTTTACTATTCCCTTTGGGTAACTTTAGACTATTGGTTAAAGGCATTTCCAGATGTAAGGCATGTACATGGGACGAGGGTGCTGAAAATAAGAAGACAAATTTACTAGGCATTCAGCAAGGATTGCAGCCAGTTCACTGGCTCGGTCAGATCACCGAAACGTCAAATATTGGTAATATTATCACAGTCAACATATAATTACTGCATACGAATGCCTAGATCTCATTCTTACATACAAGATGTTACATGCCAAAGAAGGATTCTTCATCTATTTGGGAATTTGCATCCACTTTCTAAACAGGAACATTAATTTAAACATACTGCGCTCTACCTTTAAGCCTTTTTGTTTCCTTTTCATTTCATTGTATTAGAAACCCACGTCAACAACAAGCATAAAAGTACTCATATTGCCAACATTATTTTAATTATTCTTCTATTATGCGAACAGCTGATACTATCAACATGATTTTAATTACTCTTCTATTATGTAAACAGAGACTCTTAGCTCTTGTACAACACTTTCGGTGTTCAGTATGAAATTTACACTTCAGCTTATTGCATTTTTATTGGTTTGATACACTTCCTATCACACTGTCTTTAACGTGTATATTCAATACACATGAATTACGTGCAAAATACTATGAAAATTTGTCAGAACTCAGTAACATATTCATACCGACAACCCTCATTGTGCACTAGTCAGTGAACCTTGGAATATATGGGTGGGTTTTCTTTAACCTCAGCACTTACTAGGAAAAAACAGCTGAACGAATTCTAACACTAGTTTTTCATTGCTGATATTTATAATCAAACAGGATGATGGAATTTTCAAATAATCAAACTAGAACAAAAGCTATTTATAAAGAACTTTACCAATATTGCTCAAATTCCTTTGCAACTGCATTGGTCCATATAATGAGCTTTAAGCCTCATTTAACTGTTATCAGGCAAGCCATCTTTAGGGGCTCTCAACATATATAAACCCAACATATATACATATGTTTATTCATACATGTGCATATATATAAAGCATATATATAAGCCCAATAAAAAGATCAGCATCCAAAAAATCATTTGCTCATGAAACTGTTGGACCAAAGAAAAACATCCTGAAGGAAACCTGCTAATGGTCAAGACGTTAAATAAGACAAACTACAAAGCTGATTTGGAACAGCTCTGAGCTCCCTCTTTACAATGCTGAGTAACATAAAAATAAAAAACACTGAAATAAGCACTGTTAAGATAACTTGGTAAGTTCGAGAGTCTTAACAAGATTCTGGAGGAAGTAACAAGGATGTCCTGGGGATGGCTCCATGAAAAAGCTTTCCATGCTTGGAAAGACCAACCCCAGCTCTGTTACGATCAAACATACCCTCTAAACGAAACTTACTCTAGCTCCTAGGCAGCCTCCTCTAAGGAAAACAGTCAAAACGTCACAGAGTGAGAAAGCTGCATGGACAGCAAAAGCAATAGGAGGTAGGTTATCTACCACAGCATACAACATTTTTAAATGCCCGATGTTCACAGCTATAAGATGCAAGACATTACCAGGTACTATGCACTCGAGTCAGCAGCCAGAAGCAGCCGCTCACTCCGGGTGCTGGCTTTAACGCAAGATGCAAGCTGCCTCGCTACAGCTGAGGCTACCTGTGCCTTTTGGTAGCTTGAATGGGCCCCCTCACCTAAGATCATAACCCTTTCAAATTTGGTCTAACGTTAAAGGGCTCTTGCCCTTCTCTATATCCCAGTGAGGTAAGTCCCCGTAATATATTTATCATCAACACAAAACACCATCCACATTAATCCTTCTTTGGTTTCCTAATTAACTGCTAGTCGCTGCTACAGCACTGAAGCTGTTCTGCAGTTTGCAGAGCAACAATGATTTTTTTAGCGTTTCAAAGAAGAGAAAAAAAAGTGTGACACTTCTCCACATGACCATGTTATCAGGGTCTCATCCTGCTGA